ATTTCCGATACCCCGCCGATCCCGAGGCATTTCGAAATTGAAATGAATTGTTGCATTCCGATTCTTCTAGAATGGAAATTGGAACCAATTTATTACTTTCGAAAAAAACTGAAACTTTTCTGAAAAAGTCATTTCCGATCCATTCCGTCCGATTTCCGCCCCAGTTACTATATAATTATAGCATTTTCATTTATTATTATTATTATTATTATTATTATTGTTATTATTATTATTATTATTATTATTATTATTATTATTATTATTATTATTATTATTATTATTGTTATTATTATTATTATTATTATTATTATTATTATTATTATTATTATTATTATTATTATTATTATTATTATTATTATTATTATTATTATTATTATTATTATTATTATTATTATTATTATTATTATTATTATTTATTTACTTTGTCTTCCCTCCGAGTCAATATAAAATAATAATATAGAATAATGCAACTGGTATCTGGTAAGTGGTGCTGAAAGACAGAAAGAGAACCTTTGACTATGCGCATCAATTCATCTCTCTCTCTCTCTTCTTTCTCTCTCATCTCTCTCTCTCTGCAACGACGACTTCAAACCCCACCCACCCCTTTCAAAGCTCCCATTTTTCTCTTTCACGGACCTTTGAAAACTCATACCTTATATATTCCTATATACTACTCAAATATCGATTACCACTAACCAATTAAAGCAACACCAAAAAAAAAAAAAAAACCATCCTCCATTTTCTCTTTCAAATTCAGCTGCTTGCAAACTCCAAAAATCAATTCCAATTTACTTCTTGTTTCTTCTGCAGCTGTTGTATTTTCGGCCCCAATTTCTGGGTTTCTGATCAGAAGCAGCTCTGCTTTTTGGGGTTTTTTTTTTTTCAAAATTTTAATTTTGTCCGATGCGTTGATTAATTAGGTCGGATTATGGGAGTGGGGATTTTTATCTAGGGTTTGATGTAGAATTTTTGAATTTTTTCAAAGGGGGTGGGGTTTCAAATTATTTAATGGATCGTTCATTTGCTTCGATCCTGTACTGCTTTGTTCTGGTGTTAGCAACATTTTCCCGGGTTTCTGCCAACGGCGAAGGTTTGTTCTTTTTTTTTTTTTTAATAATTATTATTATTATTTTGGGGAAATTACATGTAATGAATGCAGGTAGGTTGAGTAGGACTAAATTGTAATTACCACTTATGTCAACAACCTTCGAGTTTTTTTTTTCTGAATAAATTTCAAGAAGAAAATATGGTTGAAGAACTGTTAACATGTGTAGCATAGTATGAACCGATGGTGGGGGTGATCTCGTTTGGTTGTGTGATTAATATTTATTGTGCTTAGCTTAAATGGAATCTTCGATTAAATTTAATGATGTTTATGCTGAGACAGGTGACGCGTTGTTTGTGTTTAAGAGCAATTTGGATGATCCGATAAATGTTCTCCAGAGTTGGGATGCGACTCTCGTCAATCCTTGCACTTGGTTTCACGTTACATGCAATCCCGACAATAGTGTTACTCGAGTGTAAGCCTCCGTATTTCTATCAATATATGTATATATGTATGTATATACGCACTATTAAATTATTGAGCATATGTTTGTGTTTGTCTATGCTCAGTGATCTATGTTTGTGTTTGTCTATGCTCAGTGATCTTGGAAATGCGAATTTATCCGGTCAACTAGTTCCGCAGCTTGGGCAGCTCCGGAATTTACAGTACTTGTAAGTTTCGAAAACGAAAGGTTTTACTTGTAGTGGAATTAAGTATGGCGACACTTATTAAATTTCTGTTTGTAAAGATTTTGTACGTGTTAACTTAACCTGTATGTGCTCTGTTTTATTACGTTGAAAACGAAATCGGGAAACAAAGATAGCAACTGAGAAGTATGAAAAAAAAAAGCAAGTTCACACACACACACACACACAAATATATATATATATATATATATATCCCCATTTTATGGAGAATTTCCGCACGAAAGAAAATAGCTTACTCTCGTATTCTTTTCTTTAATTCCTCTGTGTCAGGGAACTTTACAGTAACAATATAAGTGGAATAATTCCAAGTGAGCTTGGGAACTTAACAAACTTGGTTAGCTTGGATCTTTATCTCAACGCACTTAGTGGTCCAATTCCCGACACGTTGGGCAAGCTTCAGAAACTGCGTTTCTTGTATGGGATTTTGATTTTTTTTTTTCTTTTCCTGGATGCATAAAAAAAATGGCTTGTCTTTTGTAATCGATCATTTCAGTCTTTGAAAACCTAACAATGAGTGTTTACTGAATTATGTAGGAGGCTCAATAATAACAGTTTAAGTGGAGAAATTCCGAATTCTCTGACTACAATCTTCAATCTTCAAGTCCTGTAAGTATGAATAAAAAATTCGGTTATCCTTTTCTTTTTTAATTAATTAAATTTATTATTCGTCTTTTGGCGAGCTAACATCATACATTGCTTTATCTAAAAACTGCAGTGATCTTTCAAATAACCAACTCACGGGGAAAATTCCAGTCAACGGATCCTTTCAGCTTTTCACACCTATAAGGTTTAGTGCACTAACTCTTGCTCTTTATTAAGTTAAAACGGAGTTAGTTTTGGTAATTTTTAGTGACCAAAAAAAACTTTCTCCGATTTTTCAGTTTTGCCAATAATCGGTTGGAAGCTCTACCTGCATCTCCACCTCCTCCAGTTACACAAACAACCCCATCTCCTTCTCAAGGTTTGTCCACCCTAAATCGGAATCAGACTTTCGGAAATTGGAATGAGAAAACTTGTTCTAAAATCATAAATCCAGATTGGAATTCGTCGGGATTTGGGCCACCTATATTACAAAATACATAATAATATTGATATTATAAGTCTATTTATCGGAAATTCAAATCGGATGGGAAATTGGAATCTAATATGTATTCCAATTCCTTCCAAAAAAAACATTGAAAAAAAAAATAACGAAACTTTCTGAATGAAAAATATTATTCCAAAATCGAAAATTTCCAGATTGTGAATCGACAAAATTTGGAATTCTCGTTCCAATTTCAACACTTAGTTAATTCCATGGCAAAAAAATCCACAAGAATATGCATAAGTGCTGCAGAGAATTTATAGTATCTTCTTTTATCATAATATGTTGGAGTAATTTGTTCTTACCTGCAAGTGTTCAAATAATTGTCCGACTATTCGGTAAAAAATGCCGTGTATAATTTTTTTTTAAATGTGACGAATAGCATAAACTTATGAATAAAGTTGCAATATTGCAGTTGGAAATAGTGCTACCGGAGCTATTGCTGGAGGAGTTGCCGCCGGAGCAGCCCTTCTATTTGCCGTTCCTGCAATAGCACTCGCATGGTACCGAAGAAAGAAGCCGCAGGATCATTTCTTCGATGTTCCCGGTTAGTAAAATCACAAATTATATCTCGAAACGCCACCATGGATAATTATAATAATAATACATCCCAAATTATTTTTTTACATTTTAATTTTTTTTTTTAATATCAAAATTGCAGCGGAAGAGGATCCGGAAGTTCACCTAGGACAGCTCAAACGTTTTTCCCTTCGTGAGCTACAAGTTGCGTCGGATAATTTTAGCAACAAAAATATCCTCGGGCGAGGTGGATTCGGCAAGGTTTACAAAGGCCGATTAACCGACGGTTCTTTAGTTGCAGTTAAAAGATTAAAAGAAGAACGCACTCAAGGTGGTGAACTTCAGTTTCAGACAGAAGTAGAAATGATTAGCATGGCTGTGCATCGAAATTTACTCCGTTTACGAGGCTTTTGCATGACTCCAACAGAGAGGCTTCTCGTTTATCCTTATATGGCCAATGGAAGTGTTGCATCGTGCTTAAGAGGTGCAATTTATATCTCTTTACGCATATTTATATCGTTACTAATGGATAAATTACGAGAACCCCTGAACTAAGAACATTTTACGAAACAATCCCCTCGTGTATCCATAATTGCCAAAAACTCCCTCAAGTTTGTTGCCGTCTTACATCTCCTTACGGTGCGAGTTAGAATTTTAACGGAATCTTTTTTATTCCATGGAACATTTCTCAAAATACCAGTTTTACCCTTGGGGATGGTTGTAATAATATTCCTAAAAAATATCAATTTTATCCTTAGAGACAATTCTAATAATATTATGTCATGAGGGGGCTAATTGTAATATTTTTGGTAATTCGACCATTCTTCAGGGGGTTTGATAATTTAGTTTTTTTTAGTTGGGGGCATTTTAGACATTTTTCTGTGTTAACGAACTTGGTCAACCGTTAGTTAGAGGGGTTTTTTGGTAATTACGAGTACTTTTTTAAGGTTTTTTTTTTTTTTTTTTTTTTTTTTTGTAATTAGACCTTAGTTCAAGTGGTTTTGGTACTTACCCATACTAATATTCGCTCTATTTGATGTGTTATTGTAGATCGGCCCGAGTCACAGGATCCACTTGATTGGCCGATAAGAAAACATATAGCACTGGGGTCCGCAAGGGGGCTTGCTTATTTGCATGACCATTGTGACCCTAAAATTATTCACCGTGATGTAAAAGCTGCGAATATATTATTGGACGAGGATTTTGAAGCAGTTGTCGGTGATTTTGGATTGGCAAAACTGATGGACTACAAGGATACACATGTTACTACAGCTGTACGAGGAACAATTGGTCACATAGCTCCCGAGTATCTCTCGACTGGTAAATCTTCGGAGAAAACCGATGTTTTCGGTTATGGAGTAATGCTTCTTGAACTTATCACTGGGCAGAGGGCTTTTGATCTCGCTCGTCTTGCAAATGATGATGATGTCATGTTACTTGATTGGGTAAGCATTACAATTATTTTGGAAATTTTCAGATTATTATTTTTGAAAAATCGATTTAAAAAATAGTGGAAATTGAAATTCGTTACAATTTTTGAAATTTCGGAGTCTAGCTCTAGAATATTTTTGGAATTGTTTTGAAAAATAAATAAAAATTGAAACACCCATTTTTTTTTAAATATAAATATTCCCTCTTAATCCTACTTAAATTTACTTAAATAAATTGCATTTATATACATCATATAAGTATGCAGTAATCATATTGATATTATAAATATACTTTTTGGAAAAATTCGGAATCATGGGAACAACCGGAACATAGATTATTTTATATATACTGATTCAATCAAAAAAAAAAATCGGAAAAAATCAGAAATTGGAATGAAAATCAGAAATTTTCCGACTGGAATCGGCGGAACGAGGGAAATTCCACCCCCAGTGGAAGTTTTCTCCCATAACTCTACTCTAGTTTTAATATTCACTTCTATTATTGAACATACCATTTGTGCATTTATTTAGGTGAAAGGACTTCTAAACGAGAAGAAATTGGAAGCGTTAGTTGATGTGGATCTAAAGGGTAATTACATAAACGAAGAAGTGGAGCAATTGATCCAAGTAGCTTTACTATGCACGCAAGGTTCTCCAACGGAACGGCCCAAAATGTCGGACGTAGTTAGAATGCTGGAAGGTGACGGATTGGCCGAGAGATGGGAAGAATGGCAGAAGGATGAAATGTTCCGTGAAGAATTCAACCAATCGCATAATCGGCATAACGATTGGATAAGTGCCGATTCCACTTATAACATTAGAGCTGATGAATTGTCCGGTCCGAGATGATGATACCTTTTCTTTTTTTCGTGTTAAATAGTTACCGGTGTATTTGATTGTTTTTTTTTCTTCATTGTATATGTGTTTTTCAGTTTTTCGAGAGGTGTTTTTATTCTATAGGTAATTTTTCGGGTGCTGTAAAAAATTCCATAGAAGGAAATATCTATGGAAGCACCAATGTTGTTATATATTTACCAGTGTATGCCATTTTTATGTATTGATTGATGAATAGACGAATTAAAATAAGCAGCTTCATTTAAATGAAAATATGTTGGTGCTATATTTATTTATTTTTTTCTTTTATCTGAAAATTTCCCATCAATAAATAAGTTAAAGAAAAAGAGAGATAAATAAACGTTAAGTACAATTTGGTAAATATGATTCTTTCTAGGGCTAAATACACTTTGCACCCTTAAACTATAGGGGTGGTAACACTTACCCCCTTAAAGTTACAAATGTAACACTTACCCCCCTCATTAATGAATTTAATAATAAAACTTTGACTTTGAATGATGTGGCATTTTTTCTTCCCAAATTGTCCTTCTAGCTATTATATTGATGCATATATAATAAAATAGTTTCAATAATATTTCAAAAACTAAAATTTATAAAATAAAATAATTATTAAAAAATATTTTGATTTATGTTTAACTCCACATTTTAATTACTATAAACCCTAATATAAATAAAAATCTCAATATTTTAAAAAATATATAAAATACGTTAAACATTCGCGAGAAAAAAATATTCAAGACTTAAATGGCCAATTTTTTTTATAATAATTATTGATTTGAAAATTTATTTAAGTTACTTAAATATAAATTTTAATAAAATAATATTTAAATATTTAGACGTTTAAATTATAATTTCTTATTAACTTTTGAATACATTTTGTGATTCTCCAAGTAAAAAGTGAGATGATTATATTAGAGTCATATACGCATTAAAATAACTATATAAACTATAAAATATACTTTAAATTCGAATAATCGTAC